AAGGCTTGAAGAATTTGCCCACAGCTCCTCCCAAGTTAAAGAGAGCTCGGCCAGCAAGCATGCCACTGAAGTCCAAGAAGGCTTTTGGAATCTGTGGAGGGAGCCTCAACAGTCTCCCTGTAGAAGAGACCAAGCCAGACCCACAGCAGGTGCATGTGCAGCAGCAGTCACAGATGCCGCCCTCGCAGGTTGGCATGCTAGACACCTTGCACCAGAGTGGCTCCGAACTAGCCTACAAGCTGTGCCACAATGAGTGGGAGGTGGTACAGAACTCCACCCACCTGGTGGACATGGCTGGCTCCTCCGTGGACGTTCAGCTACTAGAGGACTCTCACCAGGTTAGCAAAGATGGCTGTAGCTGCAGCTGTTCCTTTCAGCAGTGGTACCACCTGCCATGCCGACACATTTTGGCTCTGCTGCACACCAGCCAGCAGCCGGTTGGGGAAGCCATGGTGTGCCGCCGGTGGCAAAAGAAGTACCAGCACCTCCTTGGGCCCAACGGGGAGCTCCAACATCGTGGTGCAGTTGCAAACACAGGCCAGCCTGAGAATCAAGGACGGAATGACATGATTCAGGACCTGAGCAGGGAGTTAGCAAACCTGCTCATGCAGACTGAGGGGCCAGAGCTGGAAGAACGCTACTCCACCCTGCGCAAGATTGTGGATATCTGGACTGACACCTCCCAGCCAACTGAGTTCCTTCAGCAGCCAGGAGACTTTAAGGATGTGGGCCGCCTGCCTTTCCTCTGGGAAAAGCAAGAAGAGGAGGAGGGATTCCCTCCTGCTGCAGCTGTGATGCATTATTGAAGCACTTTAGCCGAGGCATTGGACCACAAACACTTCTCCTTGGAAGTGCGAGAGTTTAAAGTGGGCAGGACATGCTAGGGGTCAGCATTTTAGCCAATGTCTTCCTAGGTAGGGCAAGGAATATTGTTACAGTAGAGAGGAGAGGAACTCCACTGTGTGACAGTCCTTTCAATCTGCCCCTTTGCAGCCCTACCTTTGGCATTCCTTGGGAGCCTCATCCATTGTTCAAGGCCAAAGTTATCTCTGTGCTGCAAGGTCACCCTCTTCCTCCCCCAACCCCTGAGGTCAGATCTAATTTGCCCTGCAAAAAATGAATCCCTGCCTCAGAATAGGGTGAGACAAAATAGGTCTGGAAAAAGGTCCTGTTTTCAGGGACAAAGGGAATGAGGGTGATCTTTGGCTATTGCTGCTCTTTGTGAAGAATCTGTTATTTGTAACTTTTTATTCATATTAAATAAAGTTGTTTTTAATAAAATCAAATAAGGGAAATGTGTTCTGCTTGATGAGGGAAGGAAGAGGAATTACATAGCAATAGGACTCGACTCTACTGTCAGGAAGTGAGTGCTCTAGGGTGGATTTATTAATTTTAAAGAAAATTGAGGTTGGGTGCAATGGCTCATGCCTATAATAACAACACTTTGGGATATAGAGGTGGGCGAATCGCCTGAAGTCAAGAGTTCAAGACCAGCCTGGCCAACATGGAGAAACCGTGTCTTTACTAAAAATACAAAAATTAGTCGGGCGTGGTGGTGTGCCTATAATCCCAGCTACTTGTGAGGCTGAGGCAGGGGAATCACTTGAACCCAGGAGGTGGAAATTGCAGTGAGCCGAGATCACAGTGAGCCAAGATCATGCCACAGCACTCCAGCCTGGGTGACAGAGTAAGACTCAGGAAGAAAAAGGAGGGAGGGAGGGAAAGAAAATTGAGTGTTAGCAACCAAATGGGGTTGTGGAGCCAAATAGAACCTGATGCCTCACATTCAAGGATTTAGCAATCTGCCTCTTACTTTGTCCCCTTCCTACAACCAAACCTTCAAGGTTGATTTCAGTTTGCCTTATATTCTAGCGGGAAGAGGCCAAATAGACTGGGGGTGGGTGGGAAGAAACCTGAATCTTAGACTTGACTACCAGCAACTTGTTGGGAAACTGTGGGCAATTTCTTTGACCTGTTTCCTCTGTTAAAATTAACATGTTGCGGGGGAAAAAAAAAAATTAGCATGTTGGCCTGTCCCAATTCCAAATTTCCCCTCTAGGTTTACATAACCAACTTTTTTGGGGGGATAGAGTTTCACTCTTGTTTCCCAGGCTGGAGTACAATGGCACAATCTGGGCTCACTGCAACCTCCGCCTCCCGGCTTCAAGTGATTCTCCTGCCTCAGCCCCCTGAGTAGCTGGGATTACAAGCATGCACCACCACGCCCAGCTAATTTTTTGTATTTAGTAGAGATGGGGTTTCACCGTGTTGGTCGAGCTGGTCTTGAACTTCTGATCTCAGGTGATCCACACGCCTCGGCCTCCCAAAGTGCTGGGATTACACGTGTGACCTACCGCGCCCAGCCTATTAACATTTTCGATGCATAAGTGCCAACACTGATTTGGTGTTGCTAGTTGGTAATCTTAATCCTCCAAGGCCTGGCAAACACCTAGCTTTCTAACTCTGCCATCTTCAAGGGAACTGAGGAAAAAGACCAGTCAGTCGGCTTTTGCGCTAGTGTAGTAGTGTTGTATTTGACCGGAGCGTAGAAAGTTACCACAAGACAAAAGTATGCCAGATTGCAGGGTCATTTATTATGCCGGCGACCACAGAGGACTCACGTCTCTCCAACCTGTGGTGCCAAAAGGAGGGTGCCATGATTTTTTATACCTGAAAAACCACCTTGGGAGTGGGGGTGAGGGGCGGGGATGGGGATGATAAGGTTCCGGACATTTCAAGGGCTAGGGGATTCTGTGATTCATCTCCTGGGTGGAGACAAGGGCGGGGGTGTCCGGACATTCCAAGGTCTAGGGGACTTTTGTCATTCTGTTTGTTACCTCAGTGGTTTACAGAAGTCAGGATATACATTTGTTTACACATCGTCTGGGTGGTGATAGAAGTCACAGATTTTAGCAGTTACTGATAAGAAAAGGTAAGCAGCTTTACACAGGTTTGAGGAACAAACTGGCAGTTCTATTTACAGAGGCCAAGGACAGTAGTTATTGTGAGGAGAATGGGACAGCCAGTTTAACTTATCTAAAAACAGTTTTGCATTTTATAAAATAGTTTTGCTCCGGTTCTGGCTCTAGGCCAGCACAATATCACAGTAGGACCTTAAATAAGCCAAGGCGCCATTTGTAGAATGGTGGAGGGGGTCGGGCTAGAGAAAATCAAGTTTTGGCTTGTTTAAGGGGATCTGGATTTCCTCAACTCTAAGAGTTGGGATCCCCACCCCCAAAGGAGCGCCATAGAGTTTGAGACCTGGAACTCAGTTTCTCCATAAGGTAGAACACACTTTATGACTGCATATGCACCGTTTCCTAAACCCCAGGGGCTTTAGAATTTGACCAAAAGAAAACCAAAATTGTAAAACTGCTATTTATTTTCCTTTTCATTTTCTGCCTTTGAGGGAGTTTCCACAGTAACATGCCCTTCCAGTCATCTAGCCAGTAGAGAGGCTGCAGCACTCCGGCCTCAAAGATCAGCTCTCCCAGTTGCAAGTATCATTAGGCTCTCATTGGTTACCGCCAGCCGAGCCCCTCGTAACCCTGGCAATACAGCCCGCCCACGAATCGTCAAGCTACGATTGGTCCATAGCACTAAAGCCTGAAAGCAAATTCCTCAGACATTGGCCCGAGTCACTGCGATGCTGATGCCGTGGTTGGTGAGTTTGGAGGTCAGTCAGAGTCGGAGGCAGGGTCAAATAGGGAGAAATGGCGACGGAGTTAGGGTGTGGGTGAGTGATTCCTGAAGGGGTGTAAGTGTGAGACAGCGGATCTCTGCGGTCAGCCGTCACACAACTCCAAAAGGGGTGGATGGAAGGTTGTCTTATCCGGCTTCAGCCGGACTCTGGGAACGTCAGACATCCACATCTCCCACCCTGGTTAGAGGTGAGAGGTCAAAGGCCGTATTCCCTCTCTGTTGGTTTTTGGAACCCAGGTACTGTGGGCAGCAGTCAGGATCCCAAACCAAAGACTCAACTTTCAGCTACTTACAGAGTAATGGTGGGCAAGTCACTTAGCTTCTTTGAGCCTTAGTTTATCATCTGTAAAATGAGGACAGTAACTCGGTCTGGGGCCAAATAGAGAAAACATTGGAATAGAGCATTGCTGCTAAAAGAGGGATATAGTAGAGGCCGAGAAGCTATGCACATTTGTTAGCCCCATACTATGGTGGAAGGGATTGAGGCTCAGAGAGGGTCACTGACTTGCCCAAGATCACCCAGCAAGTTTGGAACAATTGCAGTTCTCTTATATATACCAGGACCAAAGGAAAGAATGGATGCCAATCACTTATAAATGTAAAATAATATTTTTATGTTGTTTGTTTGAGATGGAGTTTCGCTGTCACCTAGAGCTGGAGTGCAGTGGCATAATCTCAGCTCACTGCAACCTCCACCTCCTGAGTTCAAGCGAGTCTCCTGCCTCAGCCTCCCAAGTAGCTGGGACTACAGGCATGAGCCACCACGCCCAGCTAATTTTTTTTTTCTTTTTTTGTATTTTTAGTAGAGATGGGGTTTCACCATATTGATCAGGCTAGTCTCAAACTCCTGACCGACCTCAAGTGATCCTCCCGCCTCTGCCTCCCAGAGTACTGGTATTACAGACATGAGCCACTGTGCCTGGCTGGAATGCTATTTTTTTTTGAAGGCCATATGCAGTTCTGGCCATACTATTTAAATCCCCTGGATCCATATCTTTCCATAGCTAACTTCCTATCATTTAGGTCTCAGCTCCAATATCATCCTTCTCCCCTGAGAGGCTTTCCCTTACCACCTTAAAGTATTCCTCCCTTCCCTGTTTACTCTCCCACATGTTACTCAGGCTTGTGGTCTTTGTAACCTTCATTATTGGATATATCTTTGCTTATGTATGTGTTTATTGTGTATCTCCCCCTAGAACAGTACTGACACATAGTAAATGTTCAGCAAATATTGTCTGGATGAATAACCAAAGAACCAAGTTCCTGTTGTCTCCTTAAACCTCTGTTCCTTTCCATAGGCCCATCTGTGGAAAAAGATCTGGGAACAATTGTCTAGCCTCAAGGCTCAACTTACTTGGAGCTTGAGAGACTCAAAGCCTTATGGACAGCTGCCCTGCAGAGAAGGTATTTTGACCTTGGCATTTGGACATCTCCCATCCCCCCATGGCCCTAACAATGCTGAATGGGCTCCTGATTAAGGACTCAAGCCCACCGATGCTGCTGCACCAGGTTAGCAAGACTGCCCAGTTAGATACTTTCAACTACCAGAGCTGCTTTATGCAGAGTGTCTTTGACCATTTCCCTGAGATCTTATTTATCCACCGGACCTATAACCCAAGGGGTAAGGTCTTATATACCTTCCTGGTGGACGGACCTCGGGTGCAGCTGGAGGGTCATCTTGCCCGAGCAGTCTACTTTGCCATCCCTGCCAAGGAGGACACTGAAGGCCTGGCCCAGATATTCCAGGTATTCAAGAAGTTTAACCCAGCATGGGAGAGAGTCTGTACCATCCTGGTGGATCCTCATTTCCTTCCACTGCCCACTCTAGCCATGGAGTTCCCCGCAGCTGAGGTCCTGCTCTCAGCCTTCCACATTTGTAAGTTCCTCCAGGGCAAGTTCTATCAGCTGTCCCTTGAACGGCCCGTGGAAAAGCTGCTCCTGACCTCCCTGCAGAGCACAATGTGCTCAGCTACAGCAAGCAACCTGAGAAAGCTGTATACACTCCTGAGCAACTGCATTCCCCCAGCCAAGCTGCCTGAGCTCCACCCACACTGGCTGCTCAATGACCGCATCTGGCTGGCTCACCGCTGGAGAAGCCGAGCTGAGAGCAGCCGCTACTTCCAGAGCCTCGAGGTCACCACCCGCATCCTCAGCCAGTTCTTTGGCACCACCCCATCTGAGAAACAAGGTATGGCTTCTCTGTTCCATTACATGCAGCAGAACTCTGCAGACAAGGCAAACTTCAACCCAGGCCTGTGTGCCCAGAACAATCATGCCCCCTCAGATACCATCCCTGAAAGCCCCAAAGTGGAGCAGCTGGTAGAATCCCACATCCAGCACTCCCTTAATGCCATCTGCACAGGGCCAGCAGCCCAGCTCTGCCTGGGTGAGCTTGCTGTGGTCCAGAAATCCACACACCTCATTGGCTCTGGCTCAGAAAAGATGAACATACAGATCCTGGAAGACACCCACAAGGTACAGCCCCAGCCCCCTGCAAGCTGCAGCTGCTACTTTAACCAGGCCTTCCACCTTCCCTGCCGCCACATCCTAGCCATGCTCAGTGCCCGCCACCAGGTGCTCCAGCCCGACATGCTGCCAGCTCAGTGGACGGCAGGCTGTGCCACCAGTCTAGACAGCATCCTGGGCAGCAAGTGGAGTGAGACCTTGGATAAGCACCTGGCAGTGACTCATCTCACAGAGGAGGTGGGTCAGCTGTTGCAGCACTGCAGCAAGGAGGAGTTTGAGCGGAGGTACAACACTCTGCGGGAACTGGCTGACAGCTGGATTGGACCTTATGAGCAGGTCCAACTCTGATTATTCTCAGTCCCCAGAGATGCTCGTGCACCTGTGCACACTCACATGTCCCTATACACACATACACACATAGTTACACTGTTGTACTTCCGTGGTCCCTCCTTCCAGAATAAGGACAAGGTTCAAGGGTCTTCTCATCTACCATGGCCTGCTACATAGCATGTGTCTAGCTCCATGAGACGGGAGTCAGCAAATCTTATCTGTAAAGGGCCCGATAGTAAATAGTTTACTCTGTTGGCCACATACAGTCTCTGATGTATATTCTTGGTTTTAACATTTTCATAAGGAAAAACATTCTTAGCTCAAAGGTCTTACAAAAACTGGCAAGCTGGCTGGGCGTGGTGGCACATGCCTGTAATCCCAGCACTTTTGGAGGCCAAAGTGGGCAGATCATTTGAGGTCAGGAGTTCAAGACCATCCTGGCCAACATGGTGAAACCCCGTCTCTCCTAAAAATACTAAAATTAGCCAGGCATGGTGGTGGGCGCCTGTAATCTCAGCTACCCAGGAGGCTGAGGCAGGAGAATTGCTTGAACCTGGAAGGCAGAGGTTGCAGTGAGCCAAGATTCTGTTGCCATTACACTCCAGTCTGGGAGGGTGAGACTCAGTCTAAAAAAAAAAAAGAAAATAAACAGGCAATCCCCTGGTCTAAGATTAGAGATAAGACATCAGGTGGTGAGGTTGAGGGTTGGGGCTTGGTAGCAGTTGTCCCAGGTCATGAGATGACTAACCTGACCCATCTCCTTTGAGTGAGCTGGGCTGGGAGGCTTCCTACAGGGAAAGAGGCCCCTCTGGGGAGCTGGCTCAGCCAGGCTCCCTGAACTTTTTTCCTTGTCCCATCCTGGGGTCAATAAAACTGAATGTTGCATATTCTAGTACTTGTCTAGTTTTTTTTTTTTTTTGAGACGGAGTTTCGCCCTTATTACCCAGGCCGGAGTGCAATGGCGCGATCTCGGCTCACCGCAGCCTCCGCCTCCTGGGTTCAAGCAATTCTCCTGCCTCAGCCTCCCAAGTAGCTGGGACTACAGATGCGTGCCACCATGCCCAGCTAACTTTTGTATTTTTAGTAGAGACGGGGTTTCACCTTGTTGACCAGGATGGTCTCGATCTCTTGACCTCGTGATCCACCCGCCTCGGCCTCCCAAAGTGCTGGGATTATAGGCTTAAACCACTGTGCCCGGCCTACTTGTCTAGTTTTTCTTTTTTCATAGCACATAGTTTAGGGTATATTATGGAAAGAATAGACTTTAGAGTGTTATACAACATGTGAATCCTGGTTGGTTCCTTCCCTGCTTGTTTTTTGTGCCTGGTTCTGCCTTTTACTAGCTATGAGACTTATTAGGGCAAGTCACCTCTCTAAACCTCAACTTGATTATCTATAAAAATGGGATCTGGGATCTTCACAGGGTAAGTTTACAGAGCAGGTGTACCTAGTGGGTACTCAATTAAGTATTCATTTTCTTTCCTTGCCTATGGTCCTATGACCTGCCTTCAACATGCTGGGAAATTTAAGGCAAGAGAAGAATTCACATGCCTAGGACTTAATATGAAATTCTGGGCAGGCCAGGCATGGTGGGTCACGCTTGTAATCCCAACACCTTGGAAGGCCAAAGGAGGCAGATCGGAGCATCCTGGCAACGTGGCAAAACCCCTTCTCTATAAAAAACACAAAAATTAGCTGGATGTGGCACATGCCTGTAATCCCAGCTACTCAGAAAGGCTGAAGAGGTGGGAAGATCACTTGAGCCCAGGAGGTTGAGGCTGCAGTAAGCTGTGATCGTGCCACTGCACTCCAGCCTGGGTGACAGAGTAAGACCCTGTCTCAAAAAAAAAAAAAAAAAAATTCTGATCAAGTCTTCAAAACAACATAAAAGCAGCCTCAACTCTCCAAGCAGGGGCCCCTATCTCAGGTAATTTCAATTGTATCTACCTGACAAAACCTATCTCCTATCTTAGTGGTAACTAGAGATACTTTCTAGGGTGTGGAAGTCCCTAATGAAGGACTGGAATTTGTCAGAATGGCTGAACCACCTGCTCTATCCCCATCCCTGCCATAGGCTCTTCTCCCAAGCCTGTCTCCCCAAGAACCATACAGAGAAGCCACCCTACATATCTGGTGCTATTTCATCCAGCTACAAGCAGGAGCCAGGAGGCTGGCCCCTCTTGGATCTCAATAGGGGTACCTTCCCAGAGGCTGTGTGGGCATGCACCTGCTCCCACTGCCCCCCCTCCCCAGCACCCTCTGGCTCTGGGTGGGCCATCATGAAAGCTTGAGCGGCCCAAATCAGGTCCTCTTCCCGCACGCCTGGGACAGGCACGGTGGGGATGCCGGCGATCATCATAGCAAGGGTGAGGATGCAGATGTCAGGCTGGGAGCTGGCCTCCTTCCCCATTGCCTCAGAGGGTACTGGCAGAACCCCTGGTGACAACCCACACAGCAGCAGGGGCCCAGGCCTGCTGGGGCCACCCAGGTCGGGGGCTCTGCTTCTGGAGTAGCCATTCTCCCAGCCCAAGCTCTCCAGTTGTCTCGTGTGCGGGAATTTGTGGCAGTATTGGCTGTATTCCTTCCTCCGTAGTGTCTCCCAGCTAATCCCCCCAGGGCAGCCCCTGGCTTGTGGCATTGCCAAGGCTGGGCCCCAGGCCTGGGCAGTAGGTGCCACCTGCTCGGTTTTCTGGCTCGCTGGGCCTGTTCCACCAGAGGCCACCACTGCTGGCTCTACAGGACTACAGAGGCCAAGGGACAAGCCTGGAGAAGCAGCCCCACCTGCAGAGACAGGAATGAAATGTAAAGTTATTCTCTGTCTCTTTGAGGAGGGGGCCCTGAGGGGCAGTGCATAAGAGCAGAGTTTGGGGGCATAACTAAGACCAGCCCCAGCAGACCATCTAGAGGCTGGAAACTAGGTATTACTCATACCCACACTCCCAGTCCCCAGCACAGAGTAGGTGATGGCAAGTGTTTGCTGAACGAATACTGAGCAAGCAGGTAGTTATTGATTGGCAAGCACGTTTAGAATGGCTTTTCTTCTAAAAGAACTGATTCTAGGGCCAGCCCCCAAATGCCCAGTGGAACCGCCACCTCCCTAGAGCCAGAAAGCAACTTCTCAGGAGAAGCTACAGCACTCCCTCCAATCACAGGTGCCCCCCACTCACCTTGGCCAGAAGACAGAGGACCTGGATGAGTTTGTGGAGTCCTGAAGTAGGACATGGCTGCCCCAAAGCCCCTGTTTGTGAGGGAATAGTGATCTGCCTCCTGTACTCCCTTCTTCACCCTTCTAGAATATCACCTCATAGACCCTCCCTGTTACACTTGGAACCCACCTTACAGCATTGACCTGTTCATTCTAGAACCTGAGTATGACAATAGAATAAGGTTAAAAGAGTACCGGACCAGGAGCTGGGTGTTCTAGGTTCTTGCCCTTACCCTTGGACAAGTCACCTAGATAGTTTTGTTCCTTGATATTCTCATCTGTAAAGTGGGTCTGATGACTGCCACTACCTCATTAGGAGTTTTGAGGATGAAATGAGAGAATTTGTATGGAAGCAAATGACCAGAGATGGAAATACAGGAGGCTTGTAGCGTGAGACCTGCGGTCAGATCCAGGTATTGGTATTTTTCTTTTTCTTTTTTTGAGATGGAGTCTCACTCTGTTGCCTAGGCTGGAATGCTGGAGGACAGTGGCAAGACCTCAGTTCACTGCAACCTCCGCCTCCTGGGTTCATATGTGATTCTCCTGCCTCAGCCTTCTGAGAAGCTGCAACTACAGGCACCTGCTACCATGCCAGGCTAACTTTTGTATTTTTAGTAGAGACAGGGTTTCACCATGTTGGCCAGGCTGGTCTCAAACTACTGACCTCAAGTGATACACCCAGCTAGGCCTCCCAAACTGCTGGGATTACAGGCCAGGTATTGGTATTTGTCAAAGTTCCTCAAGTGATTATAATACATGACAAAGTTGGAACTGCTACTCCAGGAACATGCTTCTCAGCCCTTGCTATACACTAGGAGATCTTGAGAAGCTTTTACAAAAAGCAATGTCTCGGCCTAATTTCGCAACAAATAAAATACGAATCCCTAGAGACGGGGTGTGGGACATCAGCACTCTTTACGTATCCCAAGATGACTCTAACAAGCAGCCATCCCAGGGACCCCTGGTCTAGATGGTATCTAAAATGCTCTCTTGCTCTGACCTGCAGTGATTCTAAAAGAAGTGCCTCTCATAGGCTGCAGGGGCAAAGAGACCTTCCAGTGATCAAGATGTCAGCATCAGCTGTTTATTTCTGGTCCTGCCTGGCAGCAGTGTGGCCAACTTCAGACCAGCCAGCCACAGGTCTGGGGCCCCCGGATGCAGTCCTGCTCCAGTGCGCTGCAGGTCTTCACTCATATTTGCAGAAATCCTTAAGTTCTTTGGGCAGGTGGAGCCCATCAATGGCTAGCCGGTGCACCAGGCTCCGCTGTATCACTAGGCGGCACAGAGTCTGCAGGGACGGCACTGTGGGAAGAAGGCTGTGAAAGGCAAACTGAACTGGAAGGTGGGTCTGAGGCCAAGACACAAGATCTAGGTCTTGGTCCCCACTTTGCCATTAAATGTCGGCAAGTCCTTACTGCTCTCTGGGCCCAGCCTGCTTCATGGGGCTGAGAGAAGCACGTCTTCCCAAGAGCTATCACAGTGCTGCACTCCTGTGTATACCATAGCACTTAGCACAATCCCTTCCCAGTTCACTTAGCAGCTTCTGGGGACAGGGATAGTGTCTGATTTGCCTGTGCAACTGCAGCCTCCAGCACAGGCCTGGCACAGAGAGGGTTCTGGTTCATTGAATTCATGAAATGTGATCAGAGGTATAACTAAAATTCTTACCAGGGCTACAGTCTACCATACCTCAGCATTAAGAAGCTCTCAGTCTGGGCTTTGTGATGCCTTTAAGCTAATATGCCCACGTCTATGAGCATGTTTCTTTCTTTTTTTTAAAGAGGGAGGGTTGGCCTGGGTGCGGTGGCTCACGACTGTAATCCCAGCACTTTGAGAGGCTGAGGCAGGCAGGTCACGAGGTCAAGAGTTCAAGACCAGCCTGGTCAACATGGTGAAACCCTGTCTCTACTAAGAATGTAAAAATTAGCCGGGCATGGTGATACATGCCTGTAATCTCAGCTGCTCGGGAGGCTGAGTCAGGAGAATTGCTTGAACTCAGGAAGTGGAGGTTGCAGTGAGCTAAGATTGCACAACTACTGCACTCCAGCCTGGGTGACAGAGCAAGACTCCATCTCAGACCAAAAAAAAAAAAGAGAGAGAGGGTCTTGCTCTGTTACCCAGGCTGAAGTACAGTGGTCATAGCTCACTGCAGTTTTCAATTCTTGGGCTCAAGCGATTTTCCTGCCTTAGCCTCCCAAATAGCTGGGACTACAGGCATGTGCTACCATGCCCAGATAATTATTTAATTTTTTGTAGAGATGGGGGTCTCACTTTGTTGCCCAGCCTTGATCATGTTTCTTTCTTTCTTTTTTGAGACAGTCTCGCTCTGTTGCCTAGGCTGGAGTGCACTGGTGAGATCCTGGCTCACTGTAACCTCCACCTCCAGGTTCAAGTGATTCTCCTGCCTCAGCCTCCCAAAGTGCTGGGATTACAGATGCACATCACCAAGCCCAGCTAATGTTTGTATTTTTAGTAGAGAAGGGGGTTTCACCATGTTGGCCAGGCTGATCTCGAACTCCTGGCCTCAAGTGATCACTGGTGAGATCCCGACTTACTGCAACTTCCACCTCAAGGTTCAAGCATTCTCCTGCCTCAGCCTCCCAAAGTGCTGGGATTACAGGTGTGTGCCACCATGCTCGGCCAAACATGTTAGTAAGAAAAGGGCAAACAATTCTCAAAGAGGCCCCTAATATCTAAAATCGGTTTAGAATCCCTGCCCTAGGTGAATACAGGTAATACTGTCAAAACTAAAAGAGAACTTGTAGGGCATCTTAATCAGCCAAGATGGGTACCAAGGCCCAAAGCCAGGTAGAGGCTTGTGCAAGAGCACGAGTAGAAGTGCAGCTTGAAGCTAGATTCTCCCACTTTTTTTTTTTTTTTTTTTTGAGACGGAGCCTTGCTCTGCTGCCCAGGCTGGAGTGCAGTGGTGTGATCTAGGCTCACTGCAACCTCTGCCTACTTCAAGGGTTCAATCGATTCTTCTACTTCAGCCTCCTGTACAGGTGCCTGCCACCATGCCTCACTAATTTTTGTATATTTAATAGAAACAGGGTTTCACCATGTTGGCAAAGCTGGTCTTGAGCTCCTGACCTCAGGTGATCTGCCCGCCTCGGCCTCCCAACGTGTTGGAATTACAGGCTTGAGCCACGGCGCCTGGCCGATTCTCCCCCTCTTAAACTAGTGCCGGACAGACCAAGGCCTAGCAAGTTGGCTAGGAAGCCATAGCAGATTCCTGTCTCCACACTGAGCCAGGAGGGGTCGCTGCCCAGGGATACCTACAGCCATACTCGAGCTGGACAAGGCGCACGCTCTTGGTGGAAGCAAACACGTCCACCACCGCGTAGAGGGGCTGTGCAGCTGGCAGCCCCCGGGCGCTCGGGCCCATGTCCTCGCCGTTGATGACGATGTGCATGTCGGCCGTGCCATCCGGGCGCGGGCAGAAGAGGACGCCCAGGCGACTACGGCGCGCGGTCGGAGGCAGCACGTTCAGCTCATAGAGCTGGTCCAAGAGGTGGCTGTAGAGCCCTGGCCGGCTCCGGCCCACCAGGCGGTCCCGGGGAATGCGAAACTGCTCAATGCACAGATATGGTTCCACTACGAGGGCGGGAGGTCGGCTGGGGGCCGCTGCCTCCGCCACCGCCTCCTGGCTGTCCTCCCGGGGCACGCGGTTGTGGTGGCGCGTGATGGCGAAGACCCAGGTGTGGCCCAGGTTAACCAGGTCGGGAAGAGAAAACTCGGGCACTGCGGCCAGACTGGCGGGGTCCAGCGCAGTCAGGCCGAGACGCAGATGTCCGCACCAGCCCAGCTCTTTCTCTTCGATCTCGACCAGGAAGACCTGTCCAGGGGCCAGCGGCTCGCGGCTGAAACACACGCCGTGGGCAAAGCTCTCCACACGTGTGGCCCGCGTCCCAGAGGGGTCCACGCGGATGTTGGCACCGTGCACCCGATGGAAGCGGGTGGGAGGGGGCTCCGGGCGCACCGGTCCCCAGAATGCACCCGAATCCACGGGCTCGGAGGCGGCAGCCATCTCCCAGCCACGAGGCAGGCCAGCGGGCGCCCGGGGCTATTTTGGGCGCCGGGCTCGGATGGTGACAACAAGTGAACCTTGTAAGGCATTTCCCCCGGGGCTGCCTTCCCCGAGCTTCTGCCCGGGGGTCCTAGCGCCGCTCGCTCAGCCATCCCGCTTAGAACTTGAACGTCCACACCAGGATCATCTGATCGCGTGCGCCCGGGCTACGACCCGCGAGGCCCGCAGACCTTGACCCGGCATTGACCGCCACCGCCCCACAGGACCGTAGGCACTGGGGCGGGAGGAAGGTTGTCACGTGGCGCCGGAGCTCACGTGACTCGGAGTACACATGACTCCCAGTCCCCGAGCGCCTCCAGAAGAGGAAGGACGCGGGGGAGCAGAGGTGAGCTGGCACCGGAGGCTGGAAGGGTTCCCCGAGCCCGGGATCTGTGCGCGGCGGAGGAGGCTCGCGGGTGGGAGCTGGCGCTGGGGCCGGGGCTTCCCCCGCGGAGGCGCCGCCAGCTCCTTCCCGGGGGCTGCTGCGCAGAAGCGCTGAGGAGCGAGTCCACAGCCCCTCTGCTGCCTCCCGCAGATGATCCGAGCCTCGCCGCCGCCGCTGTTCCTGCTGCTGCTGCTCGTGTCTTGGGCGCCCCTAGGCGAGGCAGCCCCCGACCAGGACGAGATCCAGTGCCTACCCGGGCTGTCCAAACAGCCATCTTTCCGCCAGTTCTCCGGCTACCTCAAAGGCTCTGGCTCCAAGCACCTCCACTACTGGTCTGCCGCCCTGTCTCTAGGCGGGATTGGGAGGAGAGATGATGGAGGAGGGGTGGGGGGTAGTTCCGCAGACCCCTGAAGATGCCTGGGAGCCCGAAGGGCTGGAAAGGGCCCCTCCACCTGCGCCAATCCTGCCCTGACACCCCTCCCAGGTTTGTGGAGTCCCAGAAGGATCCCGAGAACAGCCCTGTGGTGCTTTGGCTCAATGGGGGTCCCGGCTGCAGCTCCCTAGATGGGCTCCTCACAGAGCATGGCCCCTTCCTGGTGAGTGGACAGCAGCAGGAAAGCACAGTTCCCAAAGCAAAAGGCTGGGGAAAGGGAGGAAGGGACTTTGTGATTTTCCAAAAAGTTTTCCTTGCTCCTGAGCATCGGGATTTTCCTCTGTGCCTTTGGCTTTGCTGCCTGTACCTCTGAGGGGTTTTGCCCACATGTAAAGTGCCTCTCATAGTGTCCCTTTCCCTCCACCATGGGACTTACCCAACCATCTCTTCCTCCTCAGATCCAGCCAGATGGTGTCACCCTGGAGTACAACCCCTATTCTTGGAACCTGGTATAGCTGGAGCTGTGGGTCCTGTGGGGGTGTCTGGGCACTTGGATGGGGTGGCGGTTAGCTCATTTTTCCCTCCCCTCTAGATTGCCAATGTGTTATACCTGGAGTCCCCAGCTGGGGTGGGCTTCTCCTACTCTGATGACAAACTTTATGTGACCAATGACACTGAGGTAAGTCCTGTGCCTGCCCATCTGCCCCAGGCTCCCCAGTCCTCCATACATGGCCCAATGCTGGGAGAAAGAGCATGGTCTTGGAGTCCCCTTTTAGCTCTATCCTATGCCATTGTGGTATAGTGGCCAAGTCACTTCCCCTTACACAAACAGGGTGGATTGATGTCATTGTCGCTGAGGCTCTTTCCAGTCCAAATACCAAAGCTTCCTGATTACCCTCTGTCTTGCTTTCCCATCCCCAGGTCGCCCAGAGCAATTTTGAGGCCCTTCAAGATTTCTTCCGCCTCTTTCCGGAGTACAAGAACAACAAACTTTTCCTGACCGGAGAGAGCTATGCTGGCATCTACATCCCCACCCTGGCTGTGCTGGTCATGCAGGACCCCAGCATGAACCTTCAGGTGCAGGGCAGCTGCAGGAGGGAAGGGAGGCACCTTGTGACCGTGGCCTTGCAGTTAGGAAGGTCAGAGTGGTCAGCATCCCCATCCAATCCAGTTTCCTGCATAATCTCCCTGCCGCGGCTGCCCTAGGTCTGTCTGTGTGCCTCCCATAGGAAACTCACCTGTCAGGCTGCCAGCTCTGTCCTTTGCATTGAGTGGCCTCCCACACCCACCCGCCCCTACAAACCATCCTGGGTTTCAGCTTCCGGATTGCTGCAGGTCTGGGTGTTAGGTGAGGGAGGCTCCTCCTCTTCGTCCTCCACCTGAGCTGAGCATCCTGGGTGTTTCACAGGGGCTGGCTGTGGGCAATGGACTCTCCTCCTATGAGCAGAATGACAACTCCCTGGTCTACTTTGCCTATTACCACGGCCTTCTGGGGAACAGGTATGGGATACGGCAGTTGGGCAATCTCTAGGGTGGGGCAGGTTACATGATCTTGGGTCTGTCCTCCAAGCACATGATATGCCAGGCCCATCCCAGGTTGGGCAGGTGGGTTGCAGAAAGAACTTAGCGCCGAAAGAACAAAGAACAGAGATCAGATTTTCTCTTTTTTTTTTTTTTTTTTGAGACAGAGTCTCACTCTGTCACCCAGGCTGGAGTGCAGTGGCACGATCTTGGCTCACTGCAACCTCCACCTCTAGGCGGACAGGTTCAAGTGATTCTCGTGCCTCAGCCTCCCTAAGCAGCTGGGACTACCACTGCTCGCACTGCCACGCCTGCCTAATTTTTTGTATTTTTAGTAGAGATGGGGTTTTGCCATGTTGGCCAGGCTGGACTCGAACTCCTGGTCTCAAGTGATCTGCCCACCTTGGCTTCCCAAAGTGCTGGGATTACAGGCATGAGCCACAGTGCCCAGCCAGAGATCAGATTTTAAAGGAACTAAGGAGGCCTGTTTGTATGATCCTGGGGCATCTCTTTGGGAGCTAGCTTAGGTGATGTACAGACCACACCCCATGATATCTTTCCTAGTACCCTAGGGTCAGGGAGGTTGGTGGGAGGTGGGGGTATGCTCGCCTCCTCTACCTTCCTCTTCCCACCAGAGGCTGATGTACTTTTCCTCTCATCTCCAACAGGCTCTGGTCTTCTCTTCAGACCCACTGCTGCTCTCAAAACAAGTGTAACTTCTATGACAACAAAGACCCGGAATGCGTGACCAATGTGAGGGTCTGCCGTCACTTTGCATCAGCACCGCCATCCCTAATCCTGAGAACAGGACCACATTCCCTCCTTGGGGACTCCTTGTTCTCCATCCCTCATTGCTTCCTTATCTTGCACCTTTAAGCAATTTAGTGTTCTCTTGGACACGTGTCTAAGTGTGTATTCCCACCGCCTGCACCTCCTATGGTGGCAAATCCCATAACCTCCATGAGAGAGATAGAACTCCTTCACATTTATGGAACACCTGCACCGTGACAGGCATTGTGCTCAACTGTGTCTGTGTAGATTATACTACCCACATGTATCATACTACCCACATGAAACTGAGAGCCATGAATTTGAAATCACTGTCTGAAGTCACAGTGTTAGGAGACAGTGACACTAGGATTTGGACCCAGGTCTGGGAAGATTCCTGCCACTGAGCCTCAGTTTCCCTACCTGTGAAAAAAGTGGGTGACGGGTTAAGAGGTGAAATACAAGAGCAATACATCTTGGGACAACTTGGTGGGTTGTGGAGGGACCGGGGATCTGGAAAGCATGGTGGTTTGGTGTGTATTGCAGCTTCAGGAAGTGTCCCGCATCGTGGGCAACTCCGGCCTCAACATCTACAACCTCTATGCCCCGTGTGCTGGAGGGGTGCCCAGCCATTTTAGGTAGGTGCTGCCAGGTGCCCCTGGGGCCCACCCCAACCCCATCTGGAGGCTCCAAACTCATCCCCCCACCTCACATGCAGGTATGAGAAGGACACTGTTGTGGTCCAGGATTTGGGCAACATCTTCACTCTCCTGCCAATCAAGCGGACGTGGCATCAGGTGTGCAAGGGCATGGACTTCCTCCTGGTGAAGTGAGGGCGGGGGGAGAGGCAGGGAAGCAGAGGCTCTGACCCTCTGTTGGTGCCCTCCAGGCACTGCTTCGTTCGGGGAATAAAGTGCGCATGGACCCCCCCTGCACCAACACCACAGCTGCGTCCACCTACCTCAACAACCCGTATGTGCGGAAGGCCCTCCACATCCCGGAGCAGCTGCCCCAGTGGGACATGTGCAAGTGAGGTTCCATGGCCACCCGTGACTTGGGGTGGCAGGTTGCTGGGGCTTGAGGGTGTCGGGACGTTCCCAGGGATCTTCTGTTTCAAGCAATCTTCTCTCCTTGGCTTCCCAAAGTGCTGGATTACGGGCATGAGTCCCCACACCTGGCCATCACATTGGTCATTAACAATATTACTTCCAGCTGGGTGCAGTTTCGCACACCTGTAATCCTAGCACTTTAGGGGGCTGAGGCAGGCAGATCACCTGAGGTCAGGAGTTCAAGACCAGCTTAACCAACATGGTGAAACCCCGTCTCTACTAAAAATACAAAAATTAGCCGGGTGTGGTGGTGGCTGCCTGTAATGCCAGCTATTCGGGAGGCTGAGGCAGGAGAATTGCTTGAACCTGGGAGGTGGAGGTTGCAGTGAGCTGAGATCGTGCCACTGCACTCCAGCCTGGGCAACAAGAGTGAAACTCTGTCTCAAAAAACAACAACATCAAACTATTATTTCCATGTCCAATCTCCTGTGACCCCCAACAGGTAAAAGGGTGACACTGGGCCCAGCAGGGGCTGCTCAGGTCCATTTTGATTGTTCAGTGGCCACACTCTCCCCTGTTATATGCTGTGACTCTCACACCTGCTGGCCCCTAGACACTAAATGCCAGTTACATCCCAGTCCTTGTAACAACCGGAACATGTCCCTGTACATTTCTAAGTGGGGGTGAGCTGAGGCTCTCCGAATCCCAGCCCATCATCCAGGTCAGTCCTAGAGAAGGTGACCCCCCCCAAAAAGGGGAGTGGAACCCAGCTGTCTCTCTCCTGGGTTGAAACTTGGAGATAGGAGAGAAGATTTGATCTGTTGACTACTTTTTGCCCCTACGTGGTCTTCCTGGGGCCTGCTTATGTGTTCCTGGCAGCTTCCTGGTAAACCTACAGTACCGCCGTCTCTACCGAAGCATGAACTCCCAGTATCTGAAGCTGCTTAGCTCACAGGTGAGTGGGGACGGCACAGCTGGATCTACCAGCAGCCTTAGGACCCCAGAGTAGCACAGCAAGCTGGGTGCCCCTTTAGACTTCCCGTCAGGATGGAAGAAGCTGAAACTCTAAAAGGCAAAGCCCAGGGTCTTGTGATTTGTGGAGTCAGGATTTGACCCTGGGTTTGTCCCCACCCATGCCACCCTGCTGTAGAAGGTCTGCACCAGCCAAAGAGCCTTAAGGGTAAGAGGAGCTTAATTCATGCCAAAAACAGGCCAACAGAGGTCCAGGGTGGGAGGAGACCTTGTCCAAGTTCATGTAGGAGGCACTGGCAGGGTCAAGTTAGGAGTAGGTTCTGTCCAGCACAGTGGTTAACAGCATGGGCTCTGGAGTCATGTGGCCTGGGTGCGAGTCCCTTACTAGCCACATAATCTTGGGCAAATTTCTTAAATATCATGAACCTCAGGTTGCCCATCTGTAAAATGGGGATAATGATGATACCTACCTTCAAAGGTAAAACATTTAGCAGAACACTGGATATGCAGTAAGTCGTCAGAAAACATGAGAATTCCCTGGTTCGTGCTGTCTAGCTCATCTCCTTGAATTCCCTGAGGGGTAGACCTCGAACTAGGGAAGGGCTGGGGCCTGGGCTTCTTCCACCCCTCATTTTTACCCTGTCCTGCTTTAGAAATACCAGATCCTGTTATATAATGGAGATGTAGACATGGCCTGCAATTTCATGGGGGATGAGTGGTTTGTGGATTCCCTCAACCAGAAGGTAAGGCAGAGATTCCTGGCCCTGGGATAGGGGCTGCTGTGGAAGTTGGGGGTGGGTATGTCTGGGAGTGGCCAGCTGGCTGCCTGGCTGTGGTCCTCAGAGGGCAAGTGGAGGAGTTCCCAACCCCGAGGTCTTGCTGGCAGCTGTGAGCAAGGATGCAGCTGCCGTAGGCTGATGTCTTTCCTGGTGGGGCAGATGGAGGTGCAGCGCCGGCCCTGGTTAGTGAAGTACGGGGACAGCGGGGAGCAGATCGCCGGCTTCGTGAAGGAGTTCTCCCACATTGCCTTTCTCACTATCAAGGTACGGCCTGAGCCTGCTGAGAGAGAACTGGGCCAGAGGCAAAGGAGCAGGGCCCACCCGTCCTTTCCCTCTGGATGCCTTTTATGCTGGGTCATAGGTCATCATCCAGCCCCTGTATGGGCAAGTTTTTTTGAAGAGGGGCGGGGAGAGTTCTGGGAAGAATAAAGGGCTTGGGATGAAGGAAGCCCCCACGGGTGAGCAGTTATATGAGGAGGAGGGAATGGGGGTCAGGATCTCACAAACGTTGCTCTTCAGGGCGCCGGACACATGGTCCCCACTGACAAGCCCCTCGCTGCCTTCACCATGTTCTCCCGGTTTCTGAACAAGCAGCCATACTGATGACCACAGCGACCAGCTTCCCCACGGCCTGCCGCAGCTCCTCCTAGCCTCTCCTAGCCTCTCCTGCTGGGAGTCCTCTTGTAAGCACAGTGCCCCTGCAGGGCAGGTTCTGCCTCTGGGACTCCCGTAGACAGCCTGGGGGCAGGTTGGCACTTCATTCCCACAGTAGTTCCTGAATGGGGTGGCCTGGCCCCCTCTCTGCTTCAAGAATACCCTTTATGATGCACTGATCCCATCCCAGGAACCCAACAGAGCTCAGGACAGCCCACAGGGAGGTGGTGGATGGACTATAATTGATGATTCACTGATTATGTGATTAAATTGGGTACAGTTTCAAACCCCGTCTTCTCTGTGGCACGGGGGGTTAGAGGGGCCACTATAGGATACGAATGTGGGGAAAGAGGGGCTGAGAGGGGTTGGAGTCCTGAATGACAGCTGCCAGTGTGGGGGTCAAGGGCTCAGACAGCTGCTGTGGAGGGTGGGGGGGCAGTGGATGCCTTGACATCAGCAGACCGGTTCTTCTCAATCACCTCTCGCAGCCCTTTGGCAAAGTGGAGATCGGCCCCAATGGTGAGGAAGCCCTGTGCAGGGGGCAGAGAGGGGAGTCTCATTTATTCATTCGGTTACTGAGGCCAGAGTTTAAAGATGAAGAGACAGAGTCTTTGTCCTTCAGGGGCTCAATCTAATGGATAATTCCATGTCAAGGTGCTAAAATGAGGCTTTAGGAGTACAGACTATGGGTATCAAGGAGGGCTTCTTGTAGGAGGTGACCTCTGAGCTAAGACCTGAAAGATTAGTAGGTATTGGGATAGGAGAAGAGTGCTCCAAGGAGAAGTTACAGTGTGTGCAAAGGCTTTTAGGAGTCTTAAGATTAAAATGGGAGCTGGGGACTGGTAAGGGAGGAGCTGGGGTCAGGTAGTGGAGGGCACTGGGGAGCTAGAAGGCCCTGCCCTCCTTTCCCCATCCCATCCCCCACTCACCGCATGGTTCGTCACCACCTCACGCACAAAGTCGATGCCCTCAGGTAGTGGGATCTGCACCCCACGCCAGGTCCGCTCTGTGGGTGGGAGCACCCGGCTCAGTCTGGGCCTGCCCAGCTCAGCCCTCCTTCCTTCCTCAGTCCTCACTCCCCAGCCTTACCATTGAGCATGGGCATCACACCAATCTGCAGCAAGGTCTTCAGAGGGGCCTGTAGTGGGATCAGCTGGGAGGGGAGAGGGGAAACAGGGCAGCGAGTAGGGGGTGGGCTTGCCTTTACCTGCCCACCCTGACCCCAGCCCAGCCCACTCACCCTTCCCCACTCACAGCCAGCGACTCCAGTGCAGACTGGTTGGAATAGATTCGAAACCTGCGGGAGAGAATGCCCTGTGGGCATGAAGCCTGGAAGCTCCCCTTCCTCAGGCCACCAGGCCTACCTGCCAGAGGTGCATGAGTTGCAGGCTCAGATGCCCCACCTAGGCACCTTTCCAGGTATCCCCGGGCCAGTCACTGCTCCCTCTTGGGTCTCCTTTTCTCCAAGTCTGCTACTGTTGTTTATTTATTGAGCGCTTCTAATGTTCCACACTTCTGCTGGTAGCTTTGCAGGTGTTATTTTATTTAACAAAACTCACATTGCTTAGTTCCTGTCAGACACTAAGCATATTTATTTTCTTTTTCTTTTCTTTCACGTTTTTTTTTTTTTTTT